TCAATCCCATTGAGCACGTCTGGGACCTGTTGGATCAGAGGGTGAGGGCAAGGGCCATTCCCGCCAGAAATGTCCGGGAACTTGCAGGTGCCTTGGTGGAAGAGTGGGGTAACATCTCACAGCAAGAACTGGCAAATCTGGTGCAGTCCATGAGGAGGAGATGCACTGCAGTACTTAATGCAGCTGGTGGCCACACCAGATACTGTTACTTTAGATTTTGACCCCCCCCCTTTGTTCAGGGACTCAGTTCTTGAATCTTGTTATGTTCATACAAATATTTAAACATGTTAAGTTTGCTGAAAATAAACGCAGTTGACAGTGAGAGGACATTTATTTTTTGCTGAGTTTAGTATTGTTTGTCCATTTTGAGATGCCATAGCCTTCCTCAAAACAGTCAGAATTAATCTAAGATCATTCAAGAAATCTGTCATTAATTTTGACATTTTTGCAGAGGAGATCTTAGTCGTTTGGTGCAGTATTTCTAAATGACATTTTTTTAAATGAAAATGATTTTTCTCTCATTGAATGACAACAGACTTTACTAAAGAATGCTTACTGTTGACCAATCACTGACGAAGGGGCGTAGACTTAGGGTACCGACTTCGGCTTGCCTCAAGAAAAAATGGCGTGTCCCTGAACAACCGAAAAAACCCTTACCGAAGTCCATAATGAACAAAAACGTCATAAAATGTCATATGCACGAACTCTTCCGAACTGTTTTGGCTGGGAAGCATGCGGATGCCTTAACACTGGCGATGAGGGATTACTGTGTGCATGTAGTAGACTGGATTTGCTCATTAGTGATTGTCTGTATGGTGGGCAGATTTGTCTTCTGTTCTCTTTGTTTGGCAACAGTATAAACATAGCAATTAGGAGGCTATTACAATAAGAAAAGTTGTGTTCTGCCTGATTGGTTTAGATTTTTGTTGCTGTCTGAGGTTCATGTTTACATACAGTGCATTCGGAAAGTATTCAGACCCCTTGACTTTTTCCACATTTTGTTACGTTCCAGCCTTATTCTAAAATTGATTTAAATTGTTTTTCCCCCCTCAACAGGATGCACCTGAGCTCAATTTCGAGTCTCATAGCAAAGGGTCTGAATACTTACGTAATAAGGTATGTTTTTTATTTTTTATACATTTGCTAAAGTTTCTAAGAACCAGTTTTCACTTTGTCATTATGGGGTATTGTGTGTAGATGAGGATTTTTATTTATTTAATCCATTTTAGAATAAGGCTGTAACAAAATGTGGAAAAAGTAAAGGGGTCTGAATACTTTCTGAATGCACTGTAAATGTTTGTCATTCATCCATGATCATGACATTCACGATCAAGGCCATAGTCGAGAGCATATATCCTTAATAGTGACCACCAAAGGTCCCATTTGGCAAGGAAACCAACACCACTGCCCAGCCCTTTGTCCGAAGTGGTCCTTGGCCACCCTCGAGATGGAGGACTTATCTTGCATAGTTATGAGGGACACAGAGACCATCCATCCCCTCAATGGTCTTGGCTAGCAATAGGTAGGATGGGATTCCAATCAGTGTGAAGAGTGCTTCTCCTCTTCCTCCACTCCCCTCCCTGCTCACAATACAAAACCTGCCAAGTAGTCTGAAAAAGTGCCCAAAAAAAAGATAGTACAGTAGAGCTTTATGGCTAGGGAACCGGACTACTTACTAACAGGTGAATGATCCAATCCCAAGTTGGCTATTGTAACACTGATTGATCCACTTAACATGACCAACATCAAATCACATTTCATTGGTCACATGCGCCGAATACAACAGGTGTAGGCTGTACTGTGAAATGCTTACTTACGAGCCCCTTCCCAACAATGCAGAGTAAAAAAACAAAACAATTATTTGTGAAATAAAAAAGGAAATATTAACAATAAAATAACAATAACGGGGCTATATACAAGGAGTACCAGTACTGAGTCAATGTGCAAGTGTATGAGGTAGTTGAGGTAATTCAGTATGTACATGTAGGTAGGGGTAAAGGTGACTAGACAGTCAGGATATATAATAAACAGAGTAGCAGCATGTGTGTGTTGCAGGATTTCTAATAAGCGTCCGGATTAGTGTCCCGCTCCTTGAGAGGCAGCTCTAGCCTTTAGCTCAGTGTGGATGTTGCCTGTAATCCATGGCTTCTGGTTGGGATATGTACACATGGTCACTGTGGGGATGACATCGTCGATGCACTTACTAATGTAGCCGGTGACTAATGTGGTGAACTCCTCAATGCCATTGGATGAATCCCGGAACATATTCCAGTCTGCTAGTGAAACAGACCTGTAGCTTAGCATCCGCTTCATAGGACCACTTCCGTAGACAGCTACGGAAAATACAGATGAAATACAGATAAATAGTATGGTCTGCAGCTTATCATGAGGTATTCTAACTCAGGAGAGCAGAAACTCGAGACTTCCTTAATATTATAGATTGCGCACCAGCTGTTGTTAACAAAGAGACACACCACCCCCCCCCCCCCCCCCCCCACCCCCACCCACTCAGAGAAGCACAGTAAATTACAGTCTTAATGTCCCGTTGATAGGATAGTCTCGAACGGAGCTCGTCCAGTTTATTCTCCAGCGATTGTACATTCACCAATAGAACAGAGGGCAGAGGTGATTTATTCACTCGCCGCCGTAGTCTCATCAGGGTGCCCGCGCGCCGGTCTCTATAGTGCCATCTCCTTCGAGTGTCTGAGATTTGGGTCTGGTCCGAAAAAATCTCTCTTTCGCCTCCATCTCATTGAAGTAGAAGGCCTCGTCTAAATGGTTAGTGATAGCTGTTCTAATGTCCAAAAACTTTTTTCGGTCATAGGAAACAATGTGGAAACATTATGTACAAAAAAGTTACGATCAGCGGGAAAAAAATACACAAAATAGCACAATTTGTGTACTGTAAGTATTGAAGGAGCCATACTATAAACGGTTCTAGCTTCTCTTGGCCAGAATAAACAAGTTATTATGTTGCCTTAAAATGTCCGCTTTCCAATGCGGCGCAATTATCTGCATCACATGTATTGTAGTTAGTGTGATCCTTTTGTGGGCTTGTCAGTAGCCTAAATGTGATACGCATGTCATTGAGGTGAAGTACGTGGGCCCATGGCTGAGCAGTCAGAATGGTGTGACTCCAGTCCCATGTAGAATCCTTTCAGGTGTCACCATCATACAAGGCAAGGAAAGAACATTTAAATCTATTTTTACTACATACCCCCTCAACATACAGTGCCTTCCAAAATAATTCACACCCCTTGACTTTTTCCACATTTTGTTGTTAAAGCCTGAATTTTAAATGGATTAAATTGAGATTTTGTGTCACTGGGCAACACACAATACCCCATAATGTTAAAGTGGAATTGTGTTTTTAAAAATTGACAAATTAATTAAAAATGGAATGCTGAAATGTCTTGAGTATTCAACCCCTTTGTTATGGCAAGCCTAAAGTTCTGGAGAAACATTTGCTTGACAAGTCACATAATAAGTTGCATGGACTCACTCTGTGTGCAATAATAGTGTTTAACATGATTTTTGAATGACTACCTCATCTCTGTACCCCACACATACAACTATCTGTCCATCAGTCGAGCAGTGAATTTCAAACACAGATTCAACCACAAAGACCAGGGAGGTTTTCCAATGCCTAGCAAAGGACGACACCTATTGGTAGATGGTTAAAAAAAAAAGAACAGACATTGAATTTCCCTTTGAGCATGGTGAAGTTATTAATTACACTTTGGATGGTGTATCAATACACCCAGTCACTATAAAGATACAGGCGTCCTTCCTAAATCAGTTGCCGGAGAGGAAGGAAACCGCTCAGGGATTTCGCCATAAGGACAATGGGGTCTTTAAAACAGTTAGAGTTTTTAATGGCTGTGATGGGAGGAAATTGAGGATGGATCAACATTGTAGTTACTCCACAATACTAACCTAAATGACAGAGTGAAAATAATAGAAATATTCCAAAACATGCACCCTCTTTGCAATAAGGCACTAAAGTAAAATTGGCAAAGAAATGAACTTTATGTCCTGAGTACAAAGTGTTATGTTTGGGGCAAATCTAACACATCACTGAGTACCAGGCTTCATATTTTCAAGCATGGTGGTGGCTGCATCATGTTATGGGTTTGCTTGTCATCAGCAAGGACTAGGGAGTAAAAATAAATAAAAATAAAAATGGATTAGAGCTAAGCACAGACAAAATCCTAGAGGAAAACCTGGTTCAGTCTGCTTTCCAACAGACACTGGGAGACATTCACCTTTCAGCAGGACAATAACCTAAAACACAAGGCCAAATATATACTGGAGTTGCTTACCAAGACGACATTGAATGTCGTGAGTAGCCTAGTTACAGTTTTGACTTAAATAGTCTTGAAAATCTACGGCAAGACTTGAAAACGGCTGTCTAGCAATGATCAACAACCAACTTGACAGAGCTCAAAAAATAATGTGCTAATATTGTACAATCCAGGTGTGCAAAGCTCTTAGAGACTTACCCAGAAAGACTCACAGCTGTCATCACTGCCAAATGGGATTCTAACATGTATTAACTCAGGAGTGTGAATACTTATGTAAATGAGTTATTTATGTATTTTATTTTCAATAAATTTGCAAACATTTCTAAAAACATGCTTTCACTTTGTCATTATGGGGTATTGTGTGTAGTTGAGTTAGGGAAAAAAATCAATTTAATCAATTTTGAATTCAGTCTAACAAAATGTGGAATAATTTTTGTTTAGCTAATTCTTTGATTTTTGTGCTCTTTTTTTAAAATTCTGTCTGACAGGGTCATAGCAACATTAGGAATGACTGAGAGAAGCCTCTGTCTTTACTACACCCCTGCACTGCTGTTGGTAAATCATGTAGCACACTAGAGGAAACGCCAACTAAATTTCATCCCCACTGTACATCTGCCACTCTATGGACACACATCCAGGTGTACTCTCCGATCGAGTGCCTGATTATGGCAGGATGAGTGTCAGCAGATGATAATGATGGCGAAAAAGCAAGATGCTAAGTCACCCACATACAACCTTATTGTGGTGGGTTTGTCAGGGACTGAGAAAGAGAAGGGCCAGTGTGGCGTGGGCAAGTCCTGTCTGTGCAACCGCTTTGTGCGCCCCAGCGCCGATGACTTCTATCTGGACCACACATCAGTGCTGAGCACCAGTGACTTTGGGGGCAGAGTGGTTAACAATGACCACTTCCTGTTCTGGGGGGAGGTGGGCCGGGTGGTGGAGGAGGGGCCGGAGTGCAGGATGCATGTGGTGGAGCAGACAGAGTTCATTGATGACCAGACGTTCCAGCCACACCGCAGTACTGCCATGCAGCCCTACATCAAGAGGGCGGCCTCCACCAAGCTGGCCTCTGCAGAGAAGCTGATGTACTTCTGCACGGACCAGCTGGGGCTGGAGCAGGACTTTGAGCAGAAGCAGATGCCTGAGGGCAAGATACAGGCTGACGGATTCATGCTCTGTGTGGACGTCAGTAGGGGGATGAACCGCAACTTTGACGACCAGTTGAAGTTTGTCACAAACCTTTACGGTCAGCTGAGCAAAACAAAGAAGCCCATTGTGCTGGTCTTAACCAAGTGCGATGAGGGAGTTGAACGCTACATCAAAGATTCTCACACCTTTGCTATCACTAAAAAGAGTCTTCCAGTGGTGGAGACGTCTGCGCGCTCTAACATCAATGTTGACCTAGCCTTCCTTACTTTGGTGCAACTCATTGATAAGAGCAGGGGCAAGCCCAAGATCATTCCTTACTTTGAGGCCCTCAAGCTCCAGAGTCAGCAGATAGCCTTGGCTAAAGACCGATACGAATGGCTAGTCAACCGCATCGTGAAGAACCACAACGAGACCTGGCTTAACACCAGCCGACGCATGCACACCTCTTCAGAGTTCAATGAATACGTCTTTCTGGAGGGTACAGCAAAATGCAAGAAGCTCTTCCAGCAGCTTGTGTACCGTTTGAAACAGGAGCACATTGAGAGACGTCGGAAAATCTATCTGAGCACTCTTCCTCTAGCACTTAGCTCCCTGGTGCCTGACCTGGGTGAGATTGACCAGCTGAGCTGGTCTGGGGTTCAGAAGGTCCTGGAGTCCAAGCAGCACTTTGCCCACTGGTTTGTGGTTCTGGAGGACTCTCCATGGGAGGACACGTCTCACATAGACAACATGGAGGATGAGCGCATCCCCTCAGACCTGCTGGAGACGGCCCCAGCCGAGGACATTTTCGACACCCACCTGGAGCACCTGAGGAATGAGTGCAAGCGGGCTGAGATGAGGCAGGAGTTCAAGCACAAGCTGGCCTGTTCTCCCTTTGTCACGCCTGGAAAGCCCTGGGAAGAGTCCCGCAGCTTCATCATGAATGAAGACTTCTACCAATGGTTGGAGGAATCAGAGTACCTGGACCTCTACAACCGCCACCAGAAAGAGATCATCGGCCACGCTAAAGAGGACTTCCAGGAGCTTCTGCTGGAGTACTCTGAGCTCTTCTATGAGCTGGAGGTGGACGCGAAGCCCAGCAAGGAGAAGATGGGGGCCATCCAGGAGGTTTTAGGGGAGGAGCAGCGGTTCAAAGCCCTGCAGAAGCTTCCAGCTGAGAGAGATGCTCTGGTGTTGAAGCATATCCACTTTGTCTACCACCCCACCAAGGAGACCTGCCCCAGCAGCCCACAGTGTGGCGACTTCAAGATAGAGCAGCTCCTGGCTTCACGCTTCCCAACATGCTACCCATTCTTCGACGTGAAGTCCCATTTTGGGGAAATGAAAGCAGACCGAATCAACCTTGTGATATTGGGCAAAGACGGACTGGCTAGGGAGTTTGCAAATGAGATCAGAGCTCTCTGTACCAATGATGACCGGTATGTGTTGGATGGGAAGATGTATGAGCTCACCCTGCGACCTATCGAGGGCAACGTACGACTTCCTGTAAACTCCTTCCACACTCCCACCTTCACACCCCATGGGTGCATGTGTCTGTACAACTCAAAAGAGTCCTTAACCTACGTCGTAGAAAGCATTGAGAGGTTGCGGGAGTCAACAATCGGTAGAAGGGACAGCCATATAGCTCAGCTTTTAACGTCTCTGCTCTTGGTTACTAAAAGGGGTGTAGGGACGTATGCAGATATTGGGGGAGAAACTGCTTTAGGTCTGATAACACAGGGACAGCAGGTAGCAAGGAGACTGCAGTGTAGCTTCCTAGACCCAGCCTCCCCTGGTGTGGGCTATGGGCACAATGTGAATGAGAGTCAGATCAACCAAGTATTGAGGGGTCTTCTGGACTCTAGAAGGAGCTCATCTTTCAGTAGCAGCTCCCCACCTCTGCCCCCTCAACCTCCAGGTCCCAGAGACTCTCCTCACCAGCCCAGCCCAGAGGCAGACATCCGCATCGTCATGTGCTTGATGTGTGGAGACAACTACGACGTGGAACAGCTCCTATCTCCCTTCCTACTGCCTCAGCACTGCAGGCCAACATCCAACAGTGGAACCTCAGTGATACTGGAGCAGACAGTGGGACCTCACAAACAGGTGATTGAGCTCTCCCTCCTTTCCTACCACGCCTCCTTCTCCCTGAGGAAGAGCAGATTAGTGCACGGTTACATCGCTGTGTACTCAGCCCGCCGCAAGGCCTCTCTGGAGACCCTGTGTGCCTTCCTGTGTGAGGTCCAGGACATCATTCCTGTTCAGGTGCTGGCCGTAGGGGAGAGCCAGGTGGAGCTCACAGAGAGTGAGTCTGCCAGAGAGCAGCTGGTCCAGGGAGAGGAGCTGGCCCAAGAGATAGAGGGCAGGTTCAACAGTGTGGTGTGTGGGTCCGGAGGGGTGGTGGGCGGCCTGCACAGGATAGAGATGTTCCAGCCCTTCCTGATGGAGGTGGTGGAGAAACGCAACATCGTGGAGGCCACTCACATGTATGATAACGTGGCTGAGGCCTGCATTAACGAGACTGCCTACTCCCCTCGCTGTAGCTCCCCCAGCCCCGGCACCATGTTCCTAGACTCTGACATGGATGACGTGGAGCCCTCCCCACCTTACTACGATGGCACACTCACCTCCCATGGTGGGAGCTTCAATCTGCCTGACCTGGACTCCAGCGATGTTTCTGTCATCTCTGACATCAGCTCCTTTGAGAACAAGCTCAACAGCAAAGCCCCTCTCCAGGTGAGACCCAAGCCCACTGTGACATTTGACTTCCGGAAGGTGGGCCGAAACCCCTACAACACAGACACCATGGGCCACCGTCGCTCCCTGCCCTCCGCTGTGACATGGGTGCCCGGTGGGGAAGGAGGTTACGACCCCTCGGACTATGCAGAGCCCATGGATGCTGTGTCCAAGCCCCGGGCCAGCAATGAGGAGATCATATACTCTGTGCCCCACGACAGCACGCAGGGCAAGATTATTACCATCCGCAATGCCAACCGGATGCACTCCAACGGGAACGGCTCAGACAGTGAGGTGGACAGCAGCTCCCTGGAGCGCCATAAGAAGTTATCGGCGGCGGGGGTAAAGCCACGGCTGTACCGCGACCGCTCCAAACGCCTGGGCAAGTTCAGCAGCTTCCGCACCAGCTTCATTGGCAGTGACGACGAGATGGGGGCCCTGCCAAAAACCAAGGAGGATGAGTTCGGAACCCTGAAAGGAGACATCATCAACGAGGAGGGAGAGGACCCCAAGAAAAGGAACATTCTGAAGAGCCTGCGGCGAACTGCCAAGGTATGTATTGCTACAGTTAGTAGTCTCCTCTTAACTGCTAATGCGTAAACACTATGCTTTTCAGGCTTGAAAGACTATTCTCTTTCAAGTGTAGGTAATTGGCCAGCTTTGATACGATAAATGTGGTTAAGTAATGACAACATGGTTAATATGATTTTCCATGTAGTCTCTTTACTTTTGAAAACTCTTTTGATGGGTAATTGCTTGATTTGGTTTACTCAAAACTGTTCCTCCATGCTAATATGCTATTCATAGAAAGTAAGTTATTCATGTGAAATTCCAAAGTGTGTGGGTAGAATTTAAGAAGAAAGCAGCCTGTATTTCAGAGTTACTGAGACACTTGAAACAGCAGCTGTTGATTCTGATGGTGAATACATAAAGGCAAATCTTGCAGCTGACGCAGCTGAATTGAACATAGTGTTGACATAATGAACAAAAATCTAATATAGACATCTATGGTCATTAACAATGTCAACATTCCTGTGTGTCTCTGCAGAAAACCAGACCAAAGCCTCGGCCCTCTATTCCTAAGCCCCTGGAGAGCAGCTACTTCGGAGTGCCCCTGGTCAACGTGGTGTCCCCAGACAGACCTATCCCACTCTTCATCGACAAGTGTGTCCGCTTCATTGAGACCACAGGTAGGTCACTATTTTCTGTCTCTTCTTCTCCCCTGTGTGTGTATTTGTCTGATTCATTATGCTATTTGGCTTGGATGCTGTGCAAAACATACAAATAATATTATTTATTGATAATAGGTTAATTCTGAGGTAAATCTGTGTTGCTGAAGGATGAAACGGTGTAATTTATTTTGTTGCACTGTGATTGTTTTACTTACAATACACACATTATGTGGTTGTTTAATTTCAATGTGCTTTAGTGTAAGCTGTTCTGGGTGAGGGCGTTATCTTTCTTCTATTTACATTTAATAAGCAAAGAAGAACTAACTACCCTACAGCAAATGTAGTCAATGATCAACTGCTGTATTGCAGCAGTGTCCTCATTGACTTCACTGGAAATGGATGATGACATAATGCAGATGGTAGAGTTGATCTAATGAAGCATGCTTCCTGGTTTCCATCTCTGTCTGTCTGTCTCTCTGCAGGTCTCAACACAGAGGGGCTCTACAGGGTGAGCGGGAACAAGTGTGAGATGGAGAGCATGCAGAGGCAGTTTGACCAGGGTGAGTTGCTGTACCTAGTCCTGTCTGTCTGGTCTAAAACAATGTATCAGACCCATAGAGGGATTGCCTAATACTCACCACACTGTCTGTCCCCAATACCTGGACTAACCCTGGTTAGTTATGTGGCTAATCAATATATAGACACATGAGCTGCAGGGGAAATGACGTAAACATAAATGTATTTAGAACAGTGACAAAGTGACTGCCTCTGACACACTATCCCCATCCTTTTCTCCTTCTCTACCTCTTTTTCTCCCCCTTTCCTTCTATCCCTCACCTCCTTTCCTTCTATCCCTCACCTCCTTTCCTTCTATCCATCACCTCCTTTCCTTCTATCCCTCACCTCCTTTCCTTCTATCCCGCACCTCCTTTCCTTCTATCCCTCACCTCCTTTCCTTCTATCCCGCACCTCCTTTCCTTCTATCCCGCACCTCCTTTCCTTCTATCCCTCACCTCCTTTCCTTCTATCCCGCACCTCCTTTCCTTCTATCCCGCACCTCCTTTCCTTCTATCCCGCACCTCCTTTCCTTCTATCCCTCACCTCCTTTCCTTCTATCCCGCACCTCCTTTCCTTCTATCCCGCACCTCCTTTCCTTCTATCCCGCACCTCCTTTCCTTCTATCCCTCACCTCCTTTCCTTCTATCCCTCACCTCCTTTTCTTCTATCCCTCACCTCCCTCTTCTTCTCCCTCTCTCGCCTCTTTTTCTACATCTCACTTTCCTTTACGTCTCTTCTTCCCTCTACCCCTCTAGACCATGGGCTGGACCTGGTGGAGAAGGACTTTGCCATCAACACGGTGGCTGGGGCTCTGAAGGCCTTTTTCTCTGAGCTGCCAGAGCCCCTGGTGCCCTGCATCCTGCAAGTGGAGCTGCTCGAGGCCTTCAGTAAGACATGGAGCTGACTGGGGTTAGGGATGAGTTCTGGAGGGTTCAGTAAAACATTGATCATTAGAAAACCCTTTTGCAATTATGTTAGCACAGCTGAAAACTGTTGTGCTGATTAAAGAAGCAATAAAACTGGCCTTCTTGAGACTAGTTGAGTATCTGGAGCATCAGCAATCTTGGGTTCGATTACAGGCTCAAAATGGCCAGAAACAAACAACTTTCTTCTGAAACTCGTCAGTCTATTCTTGTTCTGAGAAATGGCTATTCCATGCGAGAAATTGCCAAGAAACTGAAGACAGCGAACATAATTGCAAAAGGGTTTTCTAATGATCAATTAGCCTTTTAAAATGAAAAACTTGGATTAGCAAACACAACGTGCCATTAGAACATAGGACTGATGGTTGCTGATAAACGCCTATATAGGTATTCCATTAAAAATCAGCCGTTTCCAGCTACAATAGCCATTTACAACATTAACAATGTCTACACTGTATTTCTGTCTACACTATAATTTGTCTACACTATAATTTGATGTTATTTTAATGGACCAAAAAATTGCTTTTCTTTCGAAAACAAGGAAATGTCTAAGTGACCCCAAACTTTTGAACGGTAGTATGTATATATATATATATAGTGCTGCATATGGAGTAACAGATGGAGTAACCGTGTTGATAACATATGAGTCATAGCATTGACCCCCTCCCTCCCTCCCCTCCCCTGTGTGTGTGCACAGAGATCAACGACAGGGAACAGAGGCTGTACACCATGAAGGATGTGCTGAGGAAGTTCCCCAGGGAGAACTATGACGTCTTCAGATTTGTCATGAGCCACTTACGCAAGTGAGTGCAGATCAGACTGGCCAACTGTTCCATTCTATGACCTTGCCCCTGACTGCATTGTGACTGAAACCGTTTGCACGTTTTGTAACGTACAGTATCAAGTAGCTCTTATACCTGTGTAATAATGTTGTTATGAGTAATAGTGATATTGTTGTTGATGGAAGTGTATTGTGTTGTCTCTCTCAGGGTGACCCAGCTGAGCAGACAGAACCTGATGACCAGTGAGAATCTGTCCATCTGTTTCTGGCCTACTCTGATGCGGCCAGACTTCACCACCATGGACGCCCTGACGGCCACGCGGACCTACCAGACAATCATCGAGACCTTCATCCACCAGTGTGCTTTCTTCTTCTACAACCAGCCCCTTCTGGACTCCCCCACTGGCCTGGCTGGCCTCCCTGCCTCCCCCACCACCACCCTTACCGGGGGCTCTGCCTACTCCTGCTACCGCTCCTCCCCTCCCCCCACTGCCACGCACTTCAACCCCCTGCAGCAGTCGCCCCCGACCACCCCCCAGTCTCCCCTGCAGTCCCTCCTGACGCCCCTCCACCAACACCCCCACCATGCCCCCACCGAGCAAGAGACACTGTGAGAGACAAGGAGAAGGGAGCAGACGCTGCACCCCTGATCTGATGATGCTGGACCTTAGTCACGTACACCAACACATACACACATTGTTCGGTCATCGATAATAACATAGGTAAACAGAGAGAGGAGACGAGGAGCATTTGACAAATAAACTTGCCACTTGTGAACAGCGTCCCGCTGCCCCGCCCCTGCCACCTGTGTGCCAATGCAGATCACCATGCTGACTCGTCCACTCCACCCCCTATAGCCCCCGATAACCTGGAACCTGACTCTAGGACTCACTCACAGGAGGGCCGGGGGCAGAACAGAGTGGGTGTCATTGTTACAGTAAGCATCTCTTTGCCAACCAACTGTTCTTACCCTAACAATACACTACAATTAAAAAAGTCCAAGCCTCTATGTTAAGCTGGAAGATATGATTTGTGCCCATCACCATATTTTTATTTGTGTATAATAGTTTCTTTCTGTTTGTTAATAAAAGTAGCCACTGGATGTATGGACTGTGCCTCTCTCAGGGCTGTAGTCAGTAATGTACCACACAGCCGTGAGGGGAGCCTCCCGGTCTGCCTGTAGGGCCCCTGCTAGGGGGTTGGGGTGGGTTCAGTGGGGAGGAGAGGACAGTTCGGGAGAGGGGGGGACATCCAGGGATGTACTTTAATGGTCAGAATGTTGTTGGGGTTTTGTTTTTAAAAGGTGGTTGTTGGGCCAGAATGTTTTAGTGTGTTGAGTTCACAGCTCAAGGAACCATACCCATTGCCTCTCTGAAGGTCCTTCGTATATCAAAACGTTGTTTACATCCAAACCCTTGTTTTTGTATCCACATACTTATCTGAAGCACTTTTGAATTAGTGTTAAGTTCCATGAAATGCAAACTTGATCAATTGACTAGTTTGTTTTAATGTCCGGGTGGGCGTGGTAGTAGTTAAGAGACTCGTTAACATGATTCGGTCATTTAAAAGGTGTTCTTTTAGAGGATTCAGGGCTCACTTTATAACACCATGGAAAACCCAACCATGATATTGGTTTATTATTCCTCTTTCATCTTAGCCATGTTAGAAATAGTTTGTTCTGAGAATGCAGGTTTGAATAGCCTGGAGTTTCCCCTCTTTTTAGGACTGCTGTTGCTTTACTGATGTTTTGACTATGGAAGTCGCCTGGTTTGAGTGGTGGTGTTTAGGAAAGTGAGTTTGAGCCAGGGTCAGTTAATCAGACCCTTTAGGATCCAGGAGAGGGATGCTCTTGGTTGAGATCCACTCAATCAGTTAGGGGTTGATGATTAAATTGGCCACATTGAAGATTGATTATGGGAATGATTGACAGTAACATCAGACATAACATGGGAGAGGTTAGTTATACCAGCCCAGGCCTCTACATGTACTGTGTCTGCTCCACTGTGCTATCTGGTGGCCATGGAAACCACTGCCCTATTGCAAAATGATAGGTTGCTGGATATGTTGCTGTGGGTGTCTAGCCAATTGAGCTCTTTGTACTCATCTAATATTAAAGGACCTTAAACTGAGGCAAGGTGAGCATACCGAAAACACTACCACTGCAATTAACTACAGTACAGTAATAACAGTATATCCTATAGAGATGGAGCACATGTATGGACTCATGCTCAGGAATGTCAACAAAGCATAGAGTAACTACTGTAGCTCCAGTATACTATGGGGTTTATGTTTGGTGTTTAACTGTCCTCTCTCTTGTAGAAAAACAAACAAGCAGTCAATGTAAAGTAGTTGAATGAATACTCCTACTATATTCTCTAATCTATCAGATTAATGTGTTGCCCCATAAGGAGTGCCACAGGCACTTTCTGGGGATGATGGAGGATTGGCCAGGAGGCATGGCTGTACTCCATGTCGGCCATGTTGGATGTTGCTCATGCTGCCAGCTCAGAACAGATCAGTCAAAGCTATTGGTTGTACTGAGGGTCAACTAATTAATACTTGGGATCACTCACTGGTACTTATCTTTGGGGTTTTCCTGCTTTGGGAGGCAGTTGTCTCTGATTGATAGACTAATGCTGCAGTGACTCCTCACCCAGTCCAGGGCAGTGCAGTACAGTATTACCACACGCACAACAGATCAGATGGATAGGAAAAACAAACTGTCCCAGTAGAATGTGACTTGGCTCAGAGGACCTATGTAGCTACATCACTTCATTTCTGACACAACTTTGACAGATCTGCTGGTAAATGGGAGAAGAAGAAAAGCGAGAGCATACTATACTAAAATGGTTGTTTATTTGTATGTTAGGGGGTCTTTAGTCAATGGTAGAAAACATTTTGTGTGTAATTCAATGATTGAAAGTCCATTTTTACGATTTTGTGAATGGTTTAAGGCCACTTCAGTTTAGTGCATGATTTAAGAACACACCAAGGGAGAAGGTTCAACCATTTATTATTTTAAAACATGAAATTAGTGTGAGAACAAAACAATACAAAAGTGAAATACAGTAGCTTAAATCAAGTGAAAGATGAAGTACTGCGCATCTACAGCAAACCATGGAATTTGTCTGACAGAATGGTTTATGAAGATGAAAGCCTTATGTGATCTGTATCATAGTTAATAAATTGAATCTTGTAAAATTGTCCTCAGACCTCCTGTGATTATCTGTGTGCATGTGTAAGTGAACACCACACCACTTCCCTAATCATGCAGCAAAATGTACAGTAAGATCTTACAGCTACCTGCTTGTACTATTATTATTTTGCCTATTTAGCTGTTATTCTGTGACAGGAGTTATTTGTGATATTACAACGAAGTATATGTGTACACACTGCACACATGAATGCTATTTCACTATAATATATTGCATCTCAATCTCAAACCTTAGGTATGGTTATTTCAGAGAGAGAGAACCCCATTGAGGTAAAGAGGTGAAACTCTGCTCGAGCGCCTAATGTGAGTTAAATAATTAGGGACCATTGAAGGTGCCATTGAAACACATCAATAATTCACTGTCTACATCTACAACTTGTCAAGCGTGACTGCTGTGGGTAACTACTACTCTGTCTCATCAGGTTTCACTGTTTACTATCTGAATCATCGGATGCCACCTGGTGTTTGTATAACGATAGTGCCGGACCACCGTCATACCTATTTTGTTGCCTGATTCTTCATGATTGCTCACAGTGCTTGACTGGGACATCTTTAGGTTCCTATGGATTAAATGACTTGGAAAGGTCTTCCACAAAATATGTCAGGTGTATCAAGTTCAACCATGAGTTGAGAGGAGAGACAGTTGAGTTCCAGACAGACCAGTATATTGATACGATAGCAGCATAGATCCAGTCTCATTCATTAGCATGCCTGTGTGATGATGGTTGGCAGATGGGAAAGCTTGTGCATGCTAACCACATTCATTATCAACTAAAATGGTCCTCAGTTCAGACCTAATGCTCTGATTAGAATGTCATGCACACACGGAGTGTCTGTAGCAGCAATATATGTGTAATTATGCCTTTGTGCAATGTGTGTGTATTTACCATTGATCAGGCTCTTGAGGGCCCTTCAGGGCTGATAAGTATGGTCCTTTATGTTAAGCTGAGGCTGAAGTGATGTGGGGGAGTTCTGTCTGTCTGCACCTCCTCGCTCTTTCCTTCCCTTTTAATTACTAATACAGATGCACCCATGCCTTGTTAATCAGGCTAAATACAGAAATGGCTTCTATGGCACTTGGCATGAGATAGAATCTGCGTTATGAAATTGTAAGGAAAGCGTATGCACTGAATTGTTGTACTGTTCCTTATGCTGTGTGTACACAACACAATACAGTACATGCCTCCTGGATTTTATTCATATCTATCAGCGTTTTCTGCTGTCAGCAGATGAGGTTACCTTTTCAGTTTGCTTGCGGAAATGTCAGACATCAGGCCAGGGCTGACTTCCGATCAGATGTTTCATTCATGATCACTGGCCATTAGTTCTACCAATTACAATGGATAAACACTATACCACATGATCATCCCTTACAATGGAAAGATGTACACAATCAAACCATTGCAAGTTATTGGGAACACCTACCTAAATCTTTTCCAAATCACACATAGGATCATATTTAGCATTTTGTACCACAGTCTAAATATTCTAGCCTGGAAGAGCCTATAGAGCATATCACGAGGTTACATACAGATTCACAACAGCCTCCTAAAGATTCTGCAATACGCTACTGATGGGAACAATGTTTCATCTATCAATAATCCATGAAATACAGTGAGGGAAGAAAGTATTTGATCCCCTGCTGATTTTGTACGTTTGCCCACTGACAAAGACATGATCAGTCTATAATTTTAATGGTAGGTTTATTTGAACAGTGAGAGACAGAATAACAACAACAAAATCCTGAAAAACGCATGTCAAAAGTGTTATGAATTTATTTGCATTTTAATGGAGGGAAATAAGTATTTGACCCCTCTGCAAAACATGACTTAGTACTTGGTGGCAAAACCCTTGTTGGCAATCATAGAGGTCAGACGTTTCTTGTAGTTGGCCACCAGGTTTGCACACATCTCAGGAGGGATTTTGTTCCACTCCTCTTTACAGACCTTCTCCAAGTCATTAAGGTTTCGAGGCTGAAGTTTGGCAACTCAAACCTTCAGCTCCCTCCATAGATTTTCTATGGGATTAAGGTCTGGAGACTGGCTAGGCCACTCCAGGACCTTAATGTGCTTCTTCTTGAGCCACTCCTTTGTTACTTTGGCCGTGTGTTTTGGGTCATTGTAATGCTGGGATACCAATCCACGACCCATTTTCAATGCCCTGGCTGAGGGAAGGAGGTTCTCACCCAAGATTTGACAGTTCATGGCCCCGTCCATCGTCCCTTTGATGCAGTGAAGTTGTCCTGTCCCATTAGCAGAAAAACACCCCCAAACCATAATGTTCCCACCTCCATGTTTGACGGTGGGGATGGTGTTCTTGGGGTCATAGGCAGCATTCCTCCTCCTCCAAACACGGCGAGTTGAGTTGATGCCAAAGAGCTCCATTTTGGTCTCATCTGAC